GTTTAAGGTTTAGAGTTTAGGGCTCGGGGTTTAGGGTTTTGAGTTTGGGGTTTAGGGTTTTGAGTTTGGGGTTTAGGGTTTAGGGTTTAGGCTTTTCGTGGGGCGACCGAGGGCTTGGACTCGGCCTAACAAGGCAATGGCGCGGGCTTCGGCAGGGCCTGGGCTTTGGGGTCTTAAAGGGGTTAGACTCGAATATGGCAGGGCTCAAAGCGCACAGCAACGGGCCTCCAACCCGACTTTTCACTCGCGAACCTCAGGGCCTTGTACGGCTTCGGTCAGGTGCTTTCAGACAGGCGTGTGCCGAGAAATGATAGGAAGTGCCGACATCATGAGGTGTGTTTTCACACGAAACCCCCCTGGTCCTCATGAGTCGGTGGCCTTGGCACTACGACGCCATGCTGCCCGCTTTGCGGCAGCCACCTTTCGCAACTCCTGAGCCTCAGCTGTGTCGCGTAGAGACCATAGCCCAGAGGACATCACCGTAGTCAAAACACCGTTGTGGTGCCACTTGGTCAGGCCGTCACCTGGCATCTGACTGCCTGGAACCCAGCGGACCTTGCAGCCGTTCCCCTCTTCCACCAAGCCTTGACGAAGAACACCAACGTCGATCGCTATCTTGCGGTCCGTGGGAAGAGTCTCGGAATTCACTGCATCATAGCCGGTCCGGGCATCGGTGACTAAGATGTGCTGCCATGGTGCAACGCACACCTTCCAGCGCTTGAGCTCGAACCGCGGGTGAACCAACTCCACGAACACGGCCCGCACGTAGTCTCCGTGTTCAAAGGCCGTCGCCAGGGAAGAAACCTCGGCCGACATTGAGCATCGCACCACCCGCTGGATCTTCGAGCTGATCGCCTCCAGGATGCACACGGGAGCCTCGCCCTCGAGCACGTTGGGATTGGCCACCATCACCATCGTGCCTCCTTGGCTAGAGCCGTTTGGCATGGCGCCATAGGCAGCGTCGCTCACTGCCAGGATCACCATCTCCGACAAAGGGCACCCTAGACACGGAACTTTCAGTTGCAGAGGCTCCCTTGCCCTGCGTACCACAGTGTTTACCCACTTCAGCGCCTCGGCACGTCCTTGACCGGCAAGCTGCTGAATCAGCGAGGCACCAAAGCAGAGATCAAAACGACCCTGGCGAGCAGCCCAGTTCAACTGACCAACCACCGAGCTGATGAGCTTCTTCTCGCCATCGGTCAAAGGCGTCAACGACTGATCACCATGGACCACCTCGTGCACGTACGAGATTGGATCTGTATCCAAACCATTGTCCACTGGGACATGGGACCCCGAGGTAGTGGTAGTGCCGCTGGAACTCGATGTGGTAGAGGACAATCCTGACGTCCCAGATGACCCCGAGGTAGTGGTAGTGCCGGAGGAACTCGAGGTAGTAGAGGACGTCGTCCCTTCTGCAGTGTCCCGCTGTTTCACGGTGGGGACGCCATCGATGTAGCCCTGCATGCTGATCTCCATCTCCAGAGTGGTAGGATCCTGTCGCTCCCATCGCCCGCAAAACTTTTGCCAGCCTTCTGTGGCCTTCCGCACCGAGCCAAACTTGAGCCGCTTGTGTAGCTGCTCCCAAATGACCGCACTGGTCTCGTCCCCAGCATACCTAGTGTCATCGACATGTATGCTGGCCATGGC